GAAGAAATTACTTTCTGTATTTCAATGTGACAGGAACGTCAAGGATTTAAAGAGCACAGCAGTCCCAAAATTGACACTCTTCATTAAAAGGACTATTACCCCTATCATTGTATGCAAAAAATTTGAAGATAATAGTAGTAATTTCAAGTATTTTATCTCTGTCAATTTATTCCAGAACAGCTGCAAAACTTCTAACACATCCCTAAAAACAAAGGTATGGAAGAATTCTTGCATAATAAGAGGAACTTGTAATTTTAAAGTGTTGCTTGACTGATCAACACTAATGCTTTACAATTAAGACTTGTTTTTCTGTACTACAGTTTCGATATGTTAAAACGTTCCTTTTTCTTTCTGGTCAATATCAAACTTCACACACCCAAAAAAAAAAAAAAAAAAAAAAAATCAACATCTAACCCAGCCTCTGATCCGCACTGATTCAGCTCACTCACCCAGAAGAAAAAAAATATTACCCCAAAAAGGAGAAAATGGTACACACAATGAAAAAGGGGGAACTGGGGCAGGCACAGGGACACATAACTGCACAGTCAGCAGCAAGAGAAGAAAAAGAAAGATGCTAGATTTCTTTTTTCTGTGTACAGCAAGCGTTTAAATGCATTCAGCTGAGACAGGAGGTGCACTCTTACAATAAAGCCACACCTTTTTCAGCACTGTAACTGCATTTAGTCACTAGCGGTTTTAAATGAAACTTTTTGACTTTACAATCTAGGTTTAATATTGGTGAATTAACACCCCCCCATCACTTCTGTGAGAAGGAAATTAAAAAGATAATCATGCATACATTGGTTTAAACAACCAGCATACTATACCTAGAGCTGGCTAAGAGCATGCACGGTTGACTACCTGACTAACTGTAACTCTTTAAACATGTAAATTTGATCATCTCCAACTATCTACATTTCTTTACAATAACTACTGACTGACCAAGGGCTAGTCATTAAGGCCAGGAGAAGGAAGGATAAGAATTAAGGAATTAGAAATCTGTTAGAGTCAAATCAGCTATTGATAATGCAATTATTATGCAATTAAGAAATAATCTAATATAACAATTAATAGCAGTTGCATACTTTAAGATGCAAATGTAATATAGGCTCTAAAATCAGTTTAAAATAATATATACAAATATTTTTAAGGATGAACTACAGAAGTGCTCAAAGTTACTGACTAAGCCCTTGTGATCACTTCACTTTGCTGAAGTTCTAAGCCTGGTTTTGATGACATTGGCCTTCAGCAGGTTCTGAAAGGAGAAAAAAAAAATCATCCATTCTATTTCATTCAGTTAGTTTGGGTCAATGATTAGTTTGTTCAAAGGAACCATTTCTCCTTTTTCAATCTGAGGCGGGAGAGAATGAATAGGAAAAAAAAAAAGACCATTTGCTTTTAGCCAGTGTTTGCCATCTCCATTAGTCGGAATAACTGACTACAGTAAACACTTTTGATTATCAGTATTTAGCAAAGTAGTAAGTATTAAACGATCCAGGCAATATTTCATGAGCTAGATCTTAAAGAACTTCTTTTCTGCATTTTGGTTTCCAACTGCTATCAAAATGAAGTTTGATTCAGGGTGAGAAATAGTCAGTATTTGGCGACACTAAAAGCATGCAGCTACTATAACAACACAGTTACACCACAGCGCGGAGGCGGCACAAACAGGTGCTCAGGTCTGCGACTGCTGAAACGGATGTCGGCAGGCAGGCTGCTCTGCCTTGACAGCAAGAAAAAAATCCACAAAAAAAAAAAAAATTAAAAATTTCCTATGCCTGATTAATCATCTTTATTTTATATGAGACGGATACTGTCACGCTGCTCTTCCTTCACGTATCAGCGGCTCCCACGCCCGCGGACGAGCCCTTCCCATTCGTCCCCGCTGACACTCCCTTGTACCCTGACCTCTGCTCAGGAGGTTTGTTTGCCTTCGGCAACGCAGGGCAGGAGGAAACCGCCCGGACTCCCCGGCCTGGCAGGTTTTTAACCCTCCCCGCGTTTCGCCGCGCTCCCGCCACCGCCC